GTGAAGTACCTACTTGTTTCTCTCTACTAAATCACAACCTTCTAAACACAAAGCAATGATATCTATGAAGGCTCCTTTCAATATCATGAGTAGGTATGCACATGAAGTGAAGACAATAGTTTACAGTTGTAAAAAAAAGTATGCATGCAAGAAATATGTTATGAGAGGGAGTCAATGGTTGTGAAAGGTGAAGGAAAAGGACAAGAATTAAAGAATTTATACAGCAAACTGACCACATTTTCAATCAAGAGCATTCAACTGATTTAACGTGTGTACATATTATTACAAGTGTATGGAAATTATCACAAAGAAATAAAGGAAATTAATTTTGCCTACATTTTCAGGATGTTTTCAAGTTTTCCATTGGTTCTTTGATTAAACTCCTTTGATGATGGAGTGAGGATGAACTGTCCATCTTTTTCTGCAGGTTCATAAACTCCAAGAATCAAGCTCTTTCCCTGAAATTTGAAGAGAAAAAATTCAGATCAATAAACCTTTAAAAGCACCAGAACCTCTACCAAATGACCTGAGACTATCCACTGAGGAATATGGAGATTCAATAGCAATTAGTTAGTCTAATATTAAGAGGAGGACAAACTTTAAAAAGAGATGGGACTAATTCCTAAGAACCAAATTGGATGAAGAAACCAGGCCTTCTACTTAAAAATTCTATCCCTAAACGGGACCGCAATTGTACGGAGACATGCCGTTAATAAACGTAGAAGACGCATCTTTCTGATTAGCTGCTAATTTTAGTAACGTGACGTCATCTGGGATACCCACAGACTATTTTAAGAAGGCCGTGGAGGTACCGCATAGAATGACGAGTTTCCAGTATGTTAATAACATTTCGGAATTCCAGTATTGACACTGTACGAATGTTCAACAATTTCCTTCATTGAGACATTGACGGGTTTGAGCTTCCTAATTTTCCGGTTCACTGCGTCTATTGAATTCATGTCATTCTTTGAAAGTTTCCTCTAGATCTATCGTATAAAAGAGATTATTCATCATCGGAGCACCGCATAATATCACATTACCGGTATTCCTGGAAAAACATTGCACCAAAGCGTCGTGCCATCCCGTTGGCTATATTTACATATATAGTATAATATAGTCATATGATCGGAGGAGTGGTCCGGTCTGACGTCACACAAAATGGCCGCTATATCTAAAAATAGTTTGCGTCCTTCTACGTTTAATCACATGCGATTCAACACAGAAAGACGCAAACTATTTTTAGGTAAGGCGCCCATCTTGTTTGACGTCAGACCAGGATACCCCCTCCGATCACGTGACTACATCTAAGTATAGCCAACCGCATGGCACCAAAGATGGAAGTGTCTATGTATATCATGCTTAATCTACACCTCACTCTCGGAAGTTCTGATGGCCGAATAGACAACGCGTCTGCGTTTGAAGTCAAGCAATGATTTTAGGAGCGGCTCGATCCCGGTCCGGCACAGGAGGTTTTTTTTCTCTTCTCCTCCTCCCGACTGACCAACAGTCCCATAAATTATAATTTGTAAAGCTGCTTTGAAGTTGTTTTTTTAATGTATATTAGTGATGAAGAATGCAGGAGGGGGGGGGGGGGGGGGGTAGATCGAGATCTAATCCTCCAGAGTCTTTACGGCAATTTTCGTGCGGTTTATTGTCTTTGTGTTAACCGTGTTTCAATTTCAAGCATCAGCGTTCTTACCCTTTTCTGAGCATCAACGATCTAGATCTAGAATCTAGATTATAGATCTAAGCGATCTTCCATCATTTCCAAGTTGGCCAACTAGATATCTAGATCTAGATCTATATCTAGATCTAGGAAATCCGAAATGTTACCGAAAACATGTCGTTCCATGTGGGTATCCCAGGAAGTGATGACAACACAGTACTAAAATTAGCAGCCAATCAGAAAGATGCGTCTTCTACTTTTAACAACGGCATATCGTTTAATCGCAAGAAAGTGGCTATTCTCACCCGCCCGGAAGTTCTCGCAAGATCAACTCCTCCCCTCTTCTCTCTCTCTCTCTGTCTCTTTCTGAATACTGTCTATCGGTGTGGACGATCAAATTGACCAAAACAAAGTTAAAAAATGATGTTAAAACACAAAAGTAAATTAATTTGGTTGTCTACAAAGATGCTACGGCTATTTAACTTTTCGAATCGAGCCGAACTACGCGGGTCGCCATTTTGTTTTGCCCGGAAATTCTCGCGCTACTCCTCTCTCTCCCCACTGCCCACAGATAAATTGTACGCTTTTAGTAGGCTACAGACAACAGTTGTAATGGAACGTTTGTTCACGGCACAGAATTCTACAATTTTTCTGTTACCACAGTGTAAAATTCTGTGGTTTAGGGTGAACGCAAAATTTGGTGAACGCGCACCGGGTGAGAATAGCCACAAGACTCGCCTGCACTATTCTCACTCCGGGTGAGAATAGAGGCGGCCTAATCGCAAGTGTACAGGAGGAGTACCCTGGCCCTGACTTCACTTGTAGACTAGGCTCCATAGTAGGCTATAGTCCAAAAGCCGACGCAAGACTGTAAATAATAATCTAAATTAAAGCTATTTTCGGTCAGCCAACTTGCAGACAAGGAGACAATAATTATAATAATAAAGAGTTTGGGGTCGGAACAAGGACAAGATAGAAGGCTTGGCCTCAATCTACTCTAACTCTAAGTGAGAGGCTGCTAATGCGACCGAGTTGTTACAAATATGTAATCAATATCGTTTGCACATATTGAATAAAAAATATATCGTAAAGATATCAATTGTATTACTTGAACAGATGCTATACTGTACTTGCGGCAAAACTGTGACAGAGTTGCCCTCTTAAATAAATGTAACCGGAGTAAACTTCGACTGAGCATGGAGGCTGACATCTTGAACACACTCTTGAAGCCAGACCCCAACACGAATGAAAGCTTTACTTATGACATTTTTTAAAATAACTTATTTAAATCAGTTTAAGTCAAAATATAGCTTCATTTTGAAATATTTTAATTGACATGTATTCATATAGAATATAATATTAATATTGCTGATATATGTGCCCCATTTGATAAAAAAAATGATCGTCTAGGAGAACATAGTTAAAACGCCAAATTGGCATTTTTTTTCTTCTTCTTCTTCTCTCTCTCTCTCTCTCTCTCTCTCTCTCTCTCTCTCTCTCTCTCTCTCTCTCTCTCTCTGTGTGTGTGTGTGTGTGTGTGTGTGTGTGTGTCTCTCTAAGAAATTATAAATAGTACTATTTAGTATTTATAACCTATTTGCTCCCTCTCGATGTACGTGGCCTAGTGCAAGATAATTTTATCATTGGTCTGGGGTGCATAGATCTATATGAGTGTCCAGAGACTGCTTGACGAATGCGTGTGTTGTGTGTGTGTGTGTGTGTGTGTGTGTGTGTGTGTGTGTGTGTGTGTGTGTGTGAGTGAGTGTTTGTGTGTGTGTGTGTGTGTGTGTGTGTGCATGTGGGAGCGTGTTTTGTTTCTTCTGTTCTTGAAAACAGAAAGTACAAACTTCAGCAAATCAACATAAAATGGCTAAGCACAAAATTAACAATGTTGCCAAAATAAAAAGCTGAAGAAAAAAAAGAGAGAAATAACGAGCAGGGGCATAAATATTACCATCGCTGGATAGCCTACTTTTTGTGTGTGTTTTGATTTTGTCGGTAGTATTCTTTAATTGACATACTCTCTCGATATGGAATTACTTTTCGTGTAAAAGATCAAATTGGCTGATTTTTTATTTATGAAATTGGCCTAACGGAAAAATCGCGTTGAAATTGTGCTCCAAGTTCGGACCTGTTTCGGCGTATGCTCATCCGGTACCGTAGTACGCTAGATGTAAACAATAATAATGGTTGTTAGAAATTCTGCACGAAAGAGTCGAAAGTAGCTTGGGGAACCATCCCTTAGTGTGAAGGTTAGCCACCTTTTTGTCCTCTATATCTTCCATTCTAAGAACATTTCTTTGAAATAAGATTTAGATCTAGATCTAGATCTAGATTTAGATCTAGAATTAGGTGTCATTGGCAGTTTATGCATTCCACATTTAGAGGGTCTGTGTGTGTCCGCCTGTTCACGCTGTGCATGTTGGCTGTTGACGAGCGGTGGGCTGACCGAACTAGATCTTGCAGTGGATGGAGATCGAGGAGAAATTAATTCCACATGATGATTTCGCGATCTAGGCCTAGATCTAGATCTAGATCTAGCAATTCCATCTGTATTCAGTAGGCTATTGTTCAGTGGGATACTTCTATTTCATATTATTACAGGAGGATGCATTCATCTAACTCGTTGTTACTCTGAGCATTCCCACACAATGAAAAAAATTGAATGCATTCTGAAAAGTCTGCATAAAAGTTAAAGCTTTTTAAACTCTGCACCCAAAATTTAAGAATACCCCATTGTTGATTTGAAGTGGGGTCATTCGGCACCATTTTCGGTAAGTCAAGAGAGCATCCCTTCTCAAAAACTCGTCTTCTCCATATAGGCCTAGCAGCCTAGTCTCACTAATAAAGAACAAGGGCAGCCATGAGTAAATTTTTACTTTCACTCCTCCACACAGATGCTTTGGAGGGTCTGCCTAGAGCTCCCTCAGATTACACATATGTATATGACAATGACAATGACAATGACAATCTTTATTCATCTCGCAGGGAGAAATTTGTCTTGGTCGTTAACAATGGCAGTAGACGTTACAAAGGTTAGACTTAAAGGTGCACTCACGCAAACGCACAACAAGACAGGACATTTTGCCAAGTAAATACATGTCTCACGGGCTGGGACAACCCGCTCCGTAACACATTCATTCTCTCTCTCTCTCTCTCTCTCTCTCTCTCTCTCTCTCTCTCTCTCTCTCTCTCTCTCTCTCTCTCTCTCTCTCTCTCTCTCTCTCTCTCTCTCTCTCTCTCTCTCTCTCTGTCTCATTTTTAGCAATGTGAGTTCA